GCACTCTTAAATGCCCATTTGATGGATCTATTCAAAGTTACATTGCACTGTTGGTTGCAAAAAGATTTAGCCAAATATATGGAATTGACCACTTGGAAGCTTTTGCCCCATTTGCCAAACTAAATACATCTAGGTACTTCTTTCCATAGCTATTAACCTTGGTTGGCTTTTTTTCCAAAAAGACATCAATATTACTTTTCTTAATAGATAATTGCGTAAATAAGTTTACATTGGAACTTTCACTAGGATTCAAGGGGACTTAAAATTTCGGAGAAGGAAGCAAATTTTAAAAAGTAGGTTTATGGCCTCAAATAGTTTCCAAAACCATGGTTTGAAAAATTCATCAATATTGTAAGGATTCAAATATTTGTTCTACAAACTTAATGATTATAATTAAAAAATTCATCAAACCACACACTTTATTCTACAAACTTAATGATTAACTGGTCAACTGTATTAATTATTCATGTTGATGATATCATCTTAACTGCTGGCTATGTTTCAAAGATAAGCTCCTCAAAGGATGGCTTGTTAAGGAATTTGAAAGCAAGGATCTTGGTTGTCTCAGTTTCTTTTTTCATTTCCTTAAAGAAACGTGCTTACGGGGATGCAAACCAATTATAACTCCAAGAGATCCAAGTATAGAATTGAGTGATTGAAATACTACTACTACTGTTGATACAAGTATCAGCACCGTCTATTTACTTCCACTGGATCAGAAATTGCTTTATTGTTATTCTAGTAAGTCATTTCATGCTTCATTCATGTGAAGAACAACTTGATGTCATCATACAAATCCCAAAACACTTAAATGGGAAGCCTAAAAAGGGGAATGTTCTTTAGAAAGTGGAAATCTCAACAACTAGGAGCTTTTACTGTTCTCAATTGGGGTTTTTCTACGGTTAATAGAAGATCTACATTTGCCTATTATTCTCATGTGTATGCTAGCGTGGAATATTGAGATTTAATTTGGTGGCTAAAAGTAGTGAAGTAGCTAAACTGATATCTCTGGCTCATGGTAGTAGTGAATTGATTTGACTTTAGTAACTAGTTGAAGAACTTACATCATCTCGTCTAGGAAGATATATTACCATAATAAGGCTGCCATCAATGTCTTAAAATCTAATTCTATGTGATTGTACCAAACATAAGAAGGTGGATTGATATTTTATTAAGGAAAAAAATGAGAAGAAACCCTGTGCATTCCATATATAGCTTCTTTTTTTGAAAAAATTGTCAATTTCTTGAACTAAACTTATATTTGAAAGAATGATTGACAAGCTGGGCTTATTTGATATTTACATTCAAATTTGATGAAAGAATGATTGACAAGCTAGGCTTATTTGATACTTACATTCGAACTTGAGGGAATGTTGTAAACCTTGTTGGCGGGCCTATATGATAGCAATTTTCTGGGATCCGAAGTTAGGCTATTTTGGCCGCCCCCTATTTATTTGGTTTCCTTTTGTTGGCAAAAGGAGGGACCTAGCTGGCCTCTGCTACATTGCTTTCTGCATATGGGTATGTTTGTTGCTGTCTTATTGTATGCCAGCCACCGTTGAAAAGGGATAATCGTGCAATAAAATCTTAATGTATTCGTGCAGATTTTCTGGTGGTTTATTGGCTGCGTTCCCTTTTTTCCTAGCTGTTTTGATAGTCTGTAATTGATTCCTGTTGTAATTAATTTGGAAGAGTCCAGATTATTTCTCTTCTAGAATTAATAGTCTTTAGTGTATATTTCCTTGTACAAACCAATTGTAATCAGGGTCTTTATAAGCCAGGGCTTTTGTCTGTGTAGATATTGAACTTGAAACAAAAGCTTCCACCTCTTGTCTTTCCATTCTTCTTCTCTATCTCACGGCATACTAATAAATACATGGAATCTTGAGAAATTTATTGTAAGTTAATCGTGCGGTTTACTTCAATCAAAATAAATAATATTTAAGATGTTAATGTTTCAGTGGTATATTACCTGAGTAATGCTCTAGATGGCATTTTGCATATATATTTTTATTGCTTCAGTTTCTAAAATTGGCTATCCATTACTGTTACTTGTGAGCAAAAAGAGCCAAAGCTAGCTCTCATTTTGACTGCTAATAACTGTTCAATGCATGCCTGCCATATTGTCTGTATCCACTACTTGCATTATTTCATATGGTTTTTTCTTTTTCAGAAGTATCCTAAAAATTTGTTTCATCTGATAAAAATGGGAACACTATTATACATTGTTTGAAATTGGCTTCTGTAATTGATGCCTTATAAAATGTAAGGGATATATATATATATATATATATATATATATAATGAAAAAGCCCAAGGGAAATTATATTAAAGAGGAAAAAATACAGATAGATTGTATGAGTGGTCCTAAAAGAAGACACCAACCCACACGATACAACACATACAAAAACCCAAAAAAGAAAATATACATATAAGATCCAAAAAAATAAAAAACCATCAACGCACGCAAAAATCTAGGGACGACTCAGTATAGTCCTGCCTCTGCCTCGAGTTCTTGGAAGGGAGCCGGCTAGCAAATTGGTGAGGTGCGTACCATTACCCGAAGTAACCAAAGTATCATCTATCAGATTCCTGAACTCAAGTATGTCTCCATTCTTCTTCTTTCTAAATGTGTAAATCTGTCATTCCTCATCCGAAGATTGACTCATCTAATCGGTGGATTGGTTCAAAGGTGGTCAAATAAGTGTAAGCTGTTGCACATCATGGACCCCATGTGCCTTAGTAACATTAACATCTTTCTCGACCTGATGAGGCTGTAGAGAAGCAGTAGTAGTAGCAATATTTCCACCCGTAACATCAGTGATAGGTTCTAGGGCAGGTGAAGTCTGAAATGTGTCCCTTGTCCCCACGAAAGGAGGTTCCAAAGATGAGAAAACTACAACATTGTGTGAAGGCTGAATGATTGACATATGGATAGTGACATCTCCAGGGGTATTCTTTTGATGATCAATACTGTCGATAACTTGGAGTATATCATGAGGAGAGAGAATCACTGCCTCTGGCAGAATACTTTGCTTCTTTGGTCTGAGGTGGGGGTGTAGATGATGACATTGAGAATTAGAGTGATTAAACATACGACAGTTCGAACAACACAAAGGAAAAGACTCAATCACAACTTTTTGCCAATAACCATGGTGCTGTGTGCCTAACCAAATTTCCTAAGAAGCGGTAAAATTGAGTCCCTTTCAATGAGTACTCTGGCTTCAGATTGACGAGAAATATTAAAAGTAGGAATGTCCGTTTTGAGTGGCTTACTATAAGCTGAGGCAATAGAGCACAAAATATTTTGAGTAAAATAATGAAATTTTAGGCCGGGGAGACGAATCCAGACCGAAATGATTGGTGGTTCCGTCTATGGGTCAAAATTCACCGACTATTTCAAAATCTTCATTGCTCTATTATCAATTCAGATTACTCTTCTAACAAATAATCATGTGTAATAGTCTTCATTATTAAGTTGAATAAGAATGTGTCTTCCATTTAGAAGTCTAATTTTTCACTCCCCAACAAGATGCATAAGCTCAAATTCGTTACAATAATCTCCATTTTGGGATGACCATAAATAAATTTCCCGACCAAATTCAAACGACAGGAGGAAACAAGTTGATTACATTAAGCTTTTGTAACAAAAATGACAGACTTCTCATTCTTCATACCAGGTTTTTTGATGTCTTCCACCAACTCAAACGAGGGAGAGAAAGAGAACGGTTTAGTATCTGAGTCGTGGACTCCCGCAAGGGCAGTATCATACGATCTGTCCGAAGCTATCACCACAAGAGGGAGGCACAACGAAAGAACAATGAATTTGCAGTGGACGGAAGAGCAAAATCCGGAAGGGGCGAAGCAGAAAAACGAGCCCTGCCAAGTCTAGCAAAGGGCAAAGCAGAAACGACGAGCCGAAGACGGTTCAGAGAAGTTGCTGAAGTCGAAGCCGCCGAACAGGCGCAGCTCGACTAGCTCTACAGAGACAGACGAAACATCCGCGAAAGGGTTGAAATCGCAGAAGACACGAGCCCTGACGAAGCTCTACAATGACGACGGAACAGAGGACGAAAATACTGTGGCAGAGGTTAGGGTTTGCCGTGAAGCGAAACCCTAGCAGAGCCTCCCATCTCTCCCATTTGATTATATTCTTTGAAGTCGTAAGTTCCCTCAGGTCACGGGTTCAAATCCTCTTATGGTCAGTTTGCCGGTAGTGATGGCTAGGGGGGTAAACGAGCTCGTGTTCGGTTCGTTTATATTTCGAGCTCAAAAAGTATGTTCGTGTTCGACTCGTTTGCTTAATGAGTCGAAGACGAGCTGTTCACGAACAAAGAGTCCTTTTAACAACCCTAATCATTTAGCCATAAGACATAAGACAATAAGGGTTTGAGCAAGTTTTAAAAATTATTATTTATATTAATTTATATACATCATTTGAATCTAATTTAATGATTTTTATTATATTTTCTTTATCAATATTTTAATTGATTATAAATCTTTGTAGCCTTGTAGTCAATTAGATTTTTTTTAAATACTACTTAATATACATATAAACTTGATGAGTAGTATTTCGAGCCAAAACGAGCCGAACACGAACGAACTCATCTTAGTTCGTGTTCGGCTCATTAACTTATCGAACAAAATTACCGAGCCGAACACGAGCTTCTTAACGAGCCGAACACGAGCTGTTCGCGAACAACGAACCGTTTTGACAGCCCTAGTGATGGCGGTCCTCAAATAGTTAGACACATGAGGATGGCCGGGGGCTCGTATAATAGCCTCCGACCATTTTTTTTTTATAAATATATATATATATATCTTAGGGAAGTAGTTTTGAAATACAAAGCAGCATTTTGTTGTAGCAGTTTAATGTTAACTAATTCTAATTCTGAACAATGTTTTCCATCATTCTGGTCAAAGAACTAAGATCTGATAAGCTGACTTACAACATTTGAATGATGCAAGTTATGTACTGCTCATGGTTTGTTATTCTCTAGATATGTTGGCAAATGATGAAACAGATTTTGAGGATGAGTTTCAAGTTGATGATGAAGATGATGATGAAGATCCCCAAGTAGTTCTGAACTCTCTTGAGTATACTTGCTCTTTCTTCTGTTTTTATGAAATGCATACACTTTCTACAAAAACTGAACCATTTCTATTTTTGTAATCTTCTATAGGTCGGTGATGGAGGTGGGGGAGGAGGGATCTCACTTGCTGGAACATGGTGGGATAAGAAAGCATTGGCAATGGCAGCAGAAGTCTCGCTTTCATTTAATGGAGACTTGAAGATATATGCATTCAAAACCTCAGCAAATTCTAGCATTCGCTTGCGGATTGAGAAGATGACCAATAAGTAAGGATAATTGAGCATCATCATTTTCATAATCAGCCCCATCTCAATTATTTGGGATTGGCTTTATCAACCCTTATTTTTCATTTATTTTACTGAGTGCTGTCCCATATATTTAACATATTTATTGCTCTTATTTTTGAAAAAAATTTCTCCATCTTACCTATTCTTTTCCTTTTTTTTTTCCTTCAAATTCGTTAACATTAATGTTATCTATCTATTTAATGGTGTGTTTTCTAGCTTTAACTTATTCAAACTACTTAATTTTATTTTCAATTATCTTATTTTCAATAGATCCAATGTGTTTTCTAGTAGACTCATTCCTTAAATATGTTTCAGTGTATAATTTGAGCAAATATGTTCAGTGAAGGATACTAAATGCATGTTTATAATGTAGAGCATGTGTCATAGTACTCCTTATCAATCTGATACCTTTCTAGGGCTCCAAGAAGGTGTTTAAGGAAAGGTTTAGCGGGGAGAAATGATATAGCACTCAATTAGGGTTAAAAAAAAAATGATATAACACTCAATTAGGGCAGAACTCAGAGATGCAATATCTAAAAATACACAAACCAAATCATTAGTCCCTTCAATCACCCTTTACATATGAAGTCTTCAAAGGGAAATATTGAGCCAGGTGCAAACAACTTTGGTGCAGGCTAGAACACAGAATTCAAGACCTCTCCCCTATTTGGACATAGCAAGTTTCATCTCTTGTTTACTATTGTTGTTAAAAAAAAAAGATATCAGCAGGGCTAATGCTAGTTTGTCCCAACCCTCCCTACCACAATAAAATAAAGAACTTATTGTCCGAAATTGTTCAATGTTTGGAAAACTTGCTTGAAAAGAAGAAAAATGTTTTGTTGCCTAAATTCGGTGATAATTTCACATTAAATAAAAAAATAAAAAAAAAGAAAATTTTGGGAAAAGAGAAACCAACTGACTCGGACATTCAAAGCTCAACAGAAAAACAATCGAGAAAGGAGTAATTCAAGATAAAAATTCCAGTATTGTGATAGAAACTATGATTTCATGGGAAAATAAAATTAATGCTCTAATAACTAAGCCCTACACTTTAAAGAATTCGGACTGGGTCCTGAGTAAAATTTAAAATAAAATATTGAGATTAAAATATGAATAATTGACTTAGGATATCACGAGCCTTTTAATCTTCTGCTAAATGATGGGGTCCTGACTTTGAAGAAACTATAATATCTCAGAATTCATTTTAAGAAATATTTGAGAATTATTAGTTGAGAGAGTTTAGACATTCAAAATCTTTAAAAGAAATATGCTTCACTAGATATATTCATTCTCAGCAAAAAAAGGGAGCAATAGAAAAAATGATGAAAAATAAAATTATGTGAACAGTTCCCTGAGAAAAAAATTGAGGTGAGCATAGAATAAAAAATTATTGTTTGAATTCAGACATTCAAAATCCTTAAATTATATTTTATCAGATATAATAATTCTCAGCAAAGAAGGGGGAGAAGATAAAGATAAAAAAAAATTGTGTGAAAATTTTGATAAAAAAAATTGAAACGAAAGAAGAGTCTCCCTGGGAAGAAGCTTGAGGTGGGCGCATAATAAAAAATGGGTGTTAGAGTCCTTCCCTAATTAATAAAACTTAAAAAACTCCTTTGAGAAAAAAAATCTTCTGATATTATATTCATGTAAAAGTTAAGTGATATTGCGTCTTTTGGTTGACTATTAATTGACTCAGAAATATCTTTGAGAAATAAAAATATTTTAGTCACATAATCAAAAGTTTTGAAATCTGCTTAGGCTCAGAAAGAAAGAATTGAAGTAAATTGTTATGTTATTACCAATTAATGAAAATTTTACCATGAAGTCATATCTTTCAATGCTAAGAAGATTCGACTCCAATCTCAATTTGAATAACGTCAAAATGATTTATCAAGACAATGTAAACAACTTTTACAAAATCGGTATAAAGAAACGATGAATGCTACGAGCGGAGCTACAAAGTTGTAGCCTTTCGAACTATAATGTCCTTAGAGATAGTACATCTTTATTTGTACTTGAAAGAATATAGTTCTAATAGTACCTTAAAGAACGTGTTATTTTCACATCTACCCCCAGTCAATGGACGGTACTTTGAGGAGTACTATGCTTCGCAGCGTTTCAAAGAAGTCTCGTCCTTCGAAACACTGGTGCAACACTGGTCCAAAATTGGTTCCACATCCTAACAAAAAAAAAAAAAGAAAACTCAAAATTAAATCAAAACAATTAAAAATCAAAATTTCAAATTTCAATTTCGACCTGGTCAGGTTGAGTATCCTCGACCCATCACTAGTTTCACTTCTCTCGGCCCGACATTTCCTTCAACAGGAATTTTGGGTCCTCTTTCTCCCGCGCAAAAGGTTAGTTGGCTCTATCTATATAGAACCGTGCTCTTCTTTACCTTATGTTCGGTGTGAATAAGTATTGGCTAATTCTGTTGATATGGAACTACACTTCCTTTCACACGGATATTTTTTTCGATCAACTCTCGAGTTGGATATGAGTCCCTTGGTATCCCTTATCAATCTGTTTCTTCCTATGAACATTTTCCACAACTGTCCTAAATTCCACAAGTTCCATAAGAAATTCACAAATTTCCCACAAATTCGCAAATTCAATTTTTTGCGGAGTGGAGTATGACCCCCTTCAATGGATGTTAAGGCCTCCGACTCCTTGCCTCTTAGGTTGGATGTAAAGCCCCCTAAATGGATGTTAAGGTTTTTCTTCCTAATGTGGTTTTTCATAAATTCAAATCTTTGCGGAGTGGAGTAAGACCCCCTTCAATGGATGTTAAGGCTTCCGACTCCTTGCCTTTTAGGTTGGATGTAAAGGCCTCCGACTCCTTGTCTCTTAGGTTGGATGTAAAGCCCCCTAAATGGATGTAAGGTTTTCCTTCCTAATGTGGTCTTCCATAAATTCAAATCTTTGCAGAGTGGAGTAAAACCCCATTCAATGGATGTTAAGACTTTCGACTCCTTGCCACTTAGGTTAGATGTAAAGTGCTCTAAATGAATATTAAAGTTTTCCTTCCTAATGTGGTCTTCCACCAATTCAAATTGCTGCTGAGTGGAGTAAGTCTCCCTTCAATGGATGTTAAGGCTTCCGAATCCTTGCCTCTTAGGTTGGATGTAAAGCCCCCTAAATGGATTTTAAGGTTTTCCTTCTTAATGTTGTTTTCCATAAATTCAAATCTTTGCGGAGTGGAGTAAGACCTCCCTTCAATGGATGTTAAAACTTTCGACTCCTTCTTGCCTCTTAGGTTGGATGTAAAGCTCCCTAAATGAATGTTGAGGTTTTTCTTCTTAATGCGGTCTTCCATAAATTCAATTTTTTGCGGAGTGGTGTAAGACCCCCTTCAATGGATGATAAAATGCTTTCGACTCATTGTCTCTTAGGTTGGATGTAAAGTCTCCTAAATGAATGTTAAGGTTTTACTTCCTAATGTGGTTTTCCTTCAAATTCAAATTTTCGAGGATCGGTGTGAGACCCCTATATGGATATTAAGTCTTTCAATTTTTTCAAATTCAAATTTCGAGGATCTGTGTGAGCCCCCTATATAGATTTTAAGGCTTTTGATTCCTTCAAATTCAAATTTCCGAGGAGCGGTGTGAGACCCTCTATATGGATGTTAAGGCTTCTGATTTCTTCAAATTCAAATTTCCTAGGAGCGGCGTGAGGCCCCTATATGGATGTTAATGCTTCTGATTCTTTCAAATTCAAATTTTCAAGGATCAATGTGAGGTCCCCTATATGGATGTTAAAGCTTCCTATCCCTTCAAATTCAAATTTCCGAGGATCGACTTAAGACACTCTAAATTGATGTTAAGGCTTCCAATTCCATCAAATTCAAGTTTTTGGGTCGGAGCGAAGATTCCAATTCCTTCCATAATTTTTCACAATTTATCCACAAATTTTCGCATACATGACATCTTGGGTTGATGCAAGGATTTCGATTCCTACCTACATGGCGTTCTAGAGCCGACGCAAGGATTCCGACTCTCACAAAATTTCATACATTTCTACATACCACAGTACAAAATTTCCCACAAATTTAAAAAAAAATCAAATTCTAAGGATCAGTGTGAGACCCCCTATATGGATGTTAAGGCTTTCTTTTTCTTCAAATTCAAATTCCAGGGTCGGTGCAGAGATTCCGATTCCTGTAAATTCCACACATATTCTACATCTCTCCACAAACTCTATTAAATCACACAAAGTTCATAAACTCCCATAAATTTCCAACAACCCACACAAATTCTACAAATCTTCAACAAACTCAAAACGAAAATCAAATTCCAAGGATATTAGTAAGACCTCATTTGATAGATGTTATGACTTCTGATTCCTTCAAATTCAAATTCCAGGGTCGGTGAAGGGATTCCGACTCCTTCAAATTCCACAAACACAAAGTCAAAGCAAAAAAAAAAAATTTCCACAACACAAGATCAAGAACAAAAACAAATCAAACCGACATTCAAATTTGAAAGCTCAAACTCACAGTTACAATTTGAAAATACACTTGCTAATCCTTAGCAGAAACTTTCAAAGTATTTTATTTAAATCCTTAAGTTAGGATTTTCCAAGTGGGAAGCCAAACTCAAATTCAATGTCCGATCTGGTTCGATCTTTAGCCTGTTCTAAACCCTAAACCCTAAGAATTTCTAAGTAAGTTTGCTTGGATAGTTCTTTTGGTTTAGTTGGTCACTTCGATCAACACTAATACACGCGGTGTTTTTGTTCAGCACATCACACCTATTGTGGGTCCATTTGTTGACCTCATTTTTGGTGAGATATTGGTTTCTTTCTCTTAGAGCCTAGGATCTAGTCTTATGACTTTCATATTAACTATCCTAGAGGACTAGTATTTGAACCACCTTACATAAAACTTCAAACTACTTCTTGACACATTTTTGTAAAAACTTCGCGTGAGTGGTCCCAAGCACTCAACTCTTAGTTGTAAGGGCTAAGGACCAATATGTGGAGGGCCCCAAAATGAGTTCCCACATGATTTAAAGGCCTTAGGGAAGCCCTTTATGGTTTGGCCATGCGCGCATCCACGTATTTCACACTACACATTTACTTACACTTGCACCACATACACTTACAATACACATAAAAGCCACAATTCACATCACCAGCACTTGCACACGCTTCATCGTTGACCAAAACTAAAAATAATTTTTACATCGACCAATTACGAATCAATATTCAAAGAAAACAAATTTGACGCATGTTTTGGCCCGTTTGTCGAAAAAGTTGTCCAGACGACCCCAGATGATGAAACGGACTTCGCGAACTCGTTTGGAACGTCGATTTTAGCTAGGAAAGACACCCATATTGCTATGGTTCCCCGCATGACCAAACGACATGAAAATCGACACATGTAAATAATTAATAAAAAAAGAGGATGTTTGAAATTCAAAATTCAAAACGACCTATTCATAACTCCCGTATCAATTGCAGTTAATTGGATTTATGAAGAGCCATTATTTTGATTGAAATCAACATTATTATTTTCTAAATTGAGGTACGTCATGGAAATAATTTGATTTCCTCACGTCCTCAAGCCTATTTATTTGGCTCTCTACCCACCGAAAAAAAAAGGAAGCTCGACCTCCCTATTTCTTGCGACCAAACCTCCGCCTCCTCCATCTTCTCCTCTTCTCTCTACCGTCCCCTTTTCTTTTCTTCAAGGCCTACCTAGCCGAACCCTTCTCTCCCTCTCCGACTATATACATATATCCCCTCTCGCTAAAGCAGAAAAAGAACTTTTCCCTTTCCTTGGTGGCTTCCTTGCCATTGGTGCTCCCTCGCCGCCGACCTGCCCTCCAGCTCCCGCCGTCAAGGTATATTTCTCTCCCTCTATAGCCGAAGCTCTCTCCTCTCATACACTCGGGCTTCTTCCTCCTCTCATCCGATTAATCTTCGACATAAGCATTTCTTCTCCTTCATTTAATTAAATAGTAAGAACGATAATGATCAGGTAATCCAAGGCTTTTCAGCGCATGTGATTGTTTTCTATATTTCAAATCTCTATCAGTAGATTGCATGTTTTGGTTGGGGATTCAATACCCTATTTTCTTATTTCAAAACTTGCAAAACCACTAGGGTAGAGAACAGTAGAACACCTGGTTTAGGAGATACAATGCGGTAGGCCACTGATCAAACAAGTTTATATGCTCACACGTGAAACCTTAAACCCGAAGCCGCTATAATACGGAGCTTGGAGCCAGCTTTGTGGGCAACACAACGAGGAGCTCGGAGCAAGCTTGGTGAGCAACACGACGAGGATGCAAGCAAGCGCATAACAACTTCAAGAGACTCAAGCACATGGAACAAAGCTACTTCAATTAAACCATTCTCTAGATTTAATCAACATGATCGATAGGACTTCGAGGTAGTTCGTCTAACACGACGTAAATCCTCACACCATCTTTAGGCTTCTGCATCACCGTGTTGTGCAGCATAAGGCCCAACTCTATTTCGGCTCTGAGGTTGTCATTCGGTACGACGTAAACACTCATATTTTTCTAGGCTGTCTACATGATTGAGTATCATGTAAGTGTAAGCCCTAAATAATAAAATTGACATGAGTGAATACTAAAATAACATCATTCTCAAAATACTAAACCCAACAACATGATAGGTTTGGAAATTACCGAGGTTCTCCTTAGGATCTGTGACATCCCCTATTTTTTTTTCTCTGGACTTCTAAATCAACTGTTCCTACTTGAACCACTATCATTTGACTTTTCATGTCCTGCCGTGAAAACCTGAACGTTGAATTCTTGAAGACTAGTACCTTTGATCATTATCAAAAATTTCTTAAATGACTTTGTTCATTTGAGATGTAATTAACTATAGAGACTTACTTTTATAGGAAATTTAAGAACCCATGTAAAATAGACCTTATAAAATATTTATATTAGATAGGGAAACTTGTCAGTCATACATAAAATGTTTCCAGACCTAACAAATGTCATAAATCATGTAGTTTATATAGCCGTGCTCACCGTCAAGTACTATGCCAATCTCTCGATGCAATGTATTACTTGTGGTGTTGTGTTCAGTCGTTTAAACTACTAGACTTATGAGATCAGTTCGGTCTCATATTTTCCAAAATTAGAACACTAATTTCAAAAATCAAAATTATATAAATATTAAATTTAAATCATTTATTTTTTCAAAAGAAAAAAAGATGACCAACAGGGCAGAGAGGGGCTTCCACCACCTATTCCTAAGCAATATACAAATGCACCACTTGCGAAAGGAAAAATGATACAACACTCTGGTAATATATAAATCCGAGATATAATCTATATTAACATACAAATCAAATTAAAAGTTCTCGCAATCAGTTTTTATATGTGATATTTATATTAATAATTAAATTAAACCCTAATTAGAAGAAAATGAAAGGAAATAATTCAGAAAAGATAAAAAAATATGGTTGATTAATAATAGGGCGAAAAAATCCCGAGGAAAGTTTCATGGGATGGGATTCCTGTGCAACCCGTCTTGTGATCGCTATAATCGAAGAAACAGTGATTTGCTAGCGCGTCACTCATTCTGCTGTTCCATGGGTCCCTGGCTCTCGCGTCACAATCATTCCATCTGTTTGTAACACCAACTGTTAAATTTTTATGGATATCAACTGTAAATAATAATGTTACATGCAAAATTGTGGCATGGATAATTATGGAGATCAATTATCAGACATTCCATCTGTTTGTTACACCAACTGTTAAATTATTATGGAGATCAAGTATAAATAATATTGCTACATTCAAAATTGTGGCTTGGATAATTATGCAAATTTTAATCATGTAAATGTAGTTATCATTTCCATATATGCTTTGGCACTGGTAGAATATTCAACTTCGAGGAATTGAATTCATGCACTTTTGCCAGCATGTTCTTTGATCAAGGGAATTATTAGTATATCAAATTCGTTATTTGAGAAAATCATTACAACTTAACCCAAATATAATACATCATCAAGCCATAGATGTATAAACAGTAAAATAATCGAGTCAGGCTAGTGAGACTAGCGATGAGAATCTATGAAAATTATATTCAACGATTTTTCAGTTAGGAACAAAACAGAATGTGCTCTCTCCATACTTTGATCCCGATTCTTTAATGCCTTGAACTTTTATCAGTTGTGCTTAGTTTTATTAATGAAATTTTTCTACTTATACCCGACTTAAAATTGTCAAAAGTCATATGCTTATGTATTTAATTGAGGACAGTCAGTTAATCTGTGAAAATCTTAGTTCCCTTTATTATTTAGCAAGAGTAACATGCAGTATCTGTTATTCTTAACATATTTTTGGAATATTTCTATGCAATAATTTTCACTGTTAAGTTCAAAAAAAATTGTAGATATGGTTCTCCAACCATGGATGACATTGAGGCTTTTGCTTCTGCCTATCGGCTGTGCTTGGATGAAGCCGAAGGTACTGGAATGATCCCGAAGGATATATCTTTGGAGGTACTTTCTATTATTCATTGCCAAGCTATTTTTGCTATATCTTGCTCCATCTTGTGAAGATTTTAGAGGTTTGATGCACAATGCATTTTCAAACAATCACTGCAAAATTTATGGGAACCTTGAGCTGCTGTAGCTTTGTAATTTAGATTGCCTGGTTTATTGAACTTACATTGACCAATTCTGAAATTTACAAGGGCTTATTTGGCAACTTTATGATTGTTCAACTTTTACGTTGTTTGGCGCAGAAGTTCAATCACTTGAATTATTTCATTTATTTGTGAATAAGCCTAAAGTTATGGAGGATGAAGCAAAGGGGATCAAAGCTTGCTTCAATAAATCAGCGGTCGAGTCGATTTTCAACCCCAAAACTTAAACCTATGAGCGAGGATTAGTTATTTAGTATTTATATGCCAACCTAAATTTTTGGCCTCTCAAATGTAGTATTAAACTCAATACCCCAAGAACCTAAACAATTCCTCTCGCAGTTTTCCACTTTGAAAATGACTCCCTCTTAAGCGATGATTTTCAATGCCATTGCACATCATGCACTGAAAGTCTATTCAATTACATGGAGTCATTGTGAGAGTCACTCTTTAAAGTTGCTCAACTATAGTAGGTCGACATGATCCATAAAAGCACAAATTATTTGAACCATCTAATTGTAACCAATCCTTCTGTTTTAAAACTATTTGAGGGAGGATGAACGACATGGGACCAAAGTTGGATCCAATATATGATCAATCAAGCCTATCTTCAACCCAAAGCTTAACTTTATTTGTGAGGACCAACCACTTGGAATTTTATACCAGCACATTTTGGCTTATTCAATGCGGCTGCAGCTTTCTATCAAAGCTACTCTATTTATTGTGGGGGAAAATAGATTGAAGCTACTATGATTATTAAGAAATTTTTCTTTTTTTAAAGAAAAAATTGCATCAGTTTTCTTACAACTATCACATTCTAGCAGATTTGGTTGTCAAAAATTGTTTTTCACTATGAAAATTTCTGAGAAGCATTAAGAAAATTTTTGCCAAACAGGGTTCTAATAATATTTGGAAAGCAAAACAAGGAAAATGCTATCCCAAAGGGACTGTAAATCAAATTATTTTAAATTCTTCAGGCCTTTAATACTTAACCTTTGACAGATCAAGCTTTTCTTTGGTTTTTTTTTTTTTTTTTTTTTTTTTTTTTGTGTGAGTATTTCAAAGCTTGGTTAATACCTAAAATATATCAGTAATGCTTGAACTCAGAGCTAAGATGAAGATGACTGTCAGTTTAAATTGAGATGGCATTACAAAAGCAACTCAGGTTCACCCCTTAGAACTAAAGCTGATAGTAACGTTAGATTGAAGTGTTGTAGCAGCGGCTAGTGCATGCATGTTATGTTAAACGAGCTTAGGATTTATCTGGCTTGGTTCAATGTCCAGCTCGTTTTAACTTCACATGGATCATTTTGAAATTCTCATGGCCTCTAATAAAAACAATTTAATTTGTACCCGCTGACTGATTTGACCATACTTTGTTCAATTATTTGAAACCCCGTTAAACACACAGTGAACTAACTGCAGCTTTTGATTCGTTATTGGTTATTGATTCAGGTAGTTTAGAGGAGAGTTTTAAAAGCGTAGATTTTTGAAATTTTTTCTTGGCAGATATGGCAATGGGATGTAAGATGGTTTCAAGATATAAACAAGATGCAAACTAAAACTAAAAGATTATATAACATGTAAGATATCAAGCGTGCATAAGTATAAATTTGGAGTTAAATTTTAAGGGCCTTAGATTCAGCGGGTGCGATGAACTAGATTTGGGCAGCGGCATATTTTTGGATGCAACTTTACACAAAAAATCTTATAATCTATTTGTTTGGTACTTTTGGATCAAAGAGGAAGAATTTCAATAGAAAGGAAAGCAATAACCTAAGTCATTGCTATATACAGATCAACTGTAAAGGCTGGCATTTGCTATATTTTAGAGTGTATTTGCAATGAATGATTATAATCTAAGGATTTTCATAATATTGCCTTTATTTGTTTTCTTTTTCTTTTTTTTGCTGAATAGCATACCTGACTTTAAACTGCCTCTTTGCTACCGCATCATTATATAGAGCGACAAATTCAATTTAGCTTCTCCCAATATGTTTTAAACGACCAGCTAGGATATGCAATAGTAGTATAAGTGTTTACACAAGTAATTTCAGTAGTTATATGAGTCACTGCTTTATATTTGTCCTCAATACTTGATCTTGGAATAGACACATGCTTGCTACTTTTCCATGGTGGATTTTGTCCAAAAAAGATATTATGTCACCCCGTGACCCAACTCCAATTATTTGTTTATTTAGCATCAAAATAAGCTATCACTTGGAAGGTGATATATTTATCTTCTCTAACAAGCACAATACCATGATTTATAGATTCTTTCGCATATTGCGTTATTTTTCTTTATGGATGTGCATTTGAATTTTTTTTGGTTCATTTCTTTTGTCTTGGTGCTCAGAGTGGCAGGAGTTAGATGATTCAAAGGACACCAATAATGCATGAATAAAAGAGCATTTAGACCTTTAACCATATGAACTAGGTTGGATTAGCCCCTTGTTAGGCTTTGACAAGTACTATAAGAAATATTCAATGGCCTTTATGGTTGACATCCTTTCCTATGCCCACTATAGTTCGCCTTCAAGCTCGGTGCATCTAGACTTCAGTCCTGAATACCCACATTCGAGTACCTCCGCCCACTGTTGATTGACCTCGTAGCTGGATAGCATGGTAACCATGGAGTTGTTATTCTTTATTTTTTTATAGCACATGGCTAGGAACTAATGTTGCTCATCAAATTTGGCTTGACGGGCCTTCACTTTTCTTTTTATCTTGCCAGGTTCTTTATGCACATTGCTTATTTTTGAATTAGTATTGGCGTATTCTCCAATCACATTTTTATGACATTTTGCCAAAAAAATAAACAAATTGTCATGACGACGCTTGCACGTGCATGACAGAGAGATATAGTTCCGTGAAGGGCACATTCAGAACCTCCATATTTATGGAAGCGTATTGAATGGCCGGTCTGAGCTATTACGCCAAAGGGAGCATCTCTTTAGAAGCCTCGTACTAGTCGTTTGATAGATCAACCCGAGCCAACAATCCTTCTTTACTTATGCTAAGAACCTCCTTTTCCTCCTCTCTGCTGAAGTCTACTTAGAGAGGAGGCTAGGTTTACTCGGGAGTTTCGGTGATTGCTTTGCCCTTCTTTTTTTGGGCAAATTTTTCTTTATTTAATTTGGTAGTCTCCTCCACTCTCCCACCTGGCAAGTATGACCTAAGATAGAAGGTCTCAGAATTACTTCAAGATTGTCAATATTCTTCATCCCAAAGACTACCTCCCTATTGGAAATTAAAAAAAAAAAGAAAATACACCTAGAGTTCCGAACCTCACTACCTCCCAATTTAGCTCCCGCTCCCTCACACCAAAATAGCAAAGAAAGACAATTCAAAACAAGAGATCGCTATGAAGAAGACCTCAACAAGTCAATCATAGTTTACTTTGGCACCCAACTCCTTATAAGCATACTGATCTTCTTTCTTTATAAGGAATTCAACAACTTCTCTCTCCAGTGGTGGAGTGTCGAATATTTGAGCTAACAAAATAACTTTTCACAAAGAATGATGGAAATAATGTTACGAGTGAGTGTCTTCCCCTCAAATTACTAGTTCAAAAAGATTTTTACATACAAATCGAGCTTCTTCAAATTGGAGAATCTTTTCTCAATGCCAGCATCATGACTTCATCCAGTCTGAATGGTTGAGGCTTACTTGCAATCGGCCACCCCATTGCATAGGATGCAAAGTTTTATTTTAGCTTCCAATCTTTGATCCGACTCTCCAGACTAGATAGCTTGATACTTATTCTGGAGATGGGACGAATCTACCATCATACGATTTGATAGTAAAAACGAGGCAAAATAGTGGTATGGACCAGGGGATCCCATGCCTCATAAACAATCTCCATTATCATTGCAAACGAGTTTGACATAACCGTGCGAGGATGATTGAAGATCTCAACCAACTCGTTGTAGATACAACTTGAGCCTGAATTGGTCCTCGTAGAAAAGTTCATCTTCATAGGTGGTTTTGGGGAACTCTCCCTTCTTTGCGGCTCGAAGCTTGATCGATCTATCAAGCACAAAATCAAGTTATGTCAGACTGATATCACCCTTTTAGAACTTGAATTGCCTAGAGAACTCGAGCCTTATAAATATCTTGTTGCTACCAAAGATTGAAGAACTCATTTCTTCCATAAAACACTAAGGTTTTCATGAAAGATGATAAATTGTAAAAACTAAGAGACAAAGCTAGGATTTATTGTAAAGAAGATGATATGTTTTTTAAAACCTATCTCGAGCAACTATTAAAATTGAGAGAAATGATAACAGGGGTAGAATCATAAAGATATAGTTTCGTATTTGAAATATCGTGCCTATATCATGAAGAGAAACTAAAGCCATGAGTTATGATCAAAAGTTAACTAGTTTTTTCTTGTTATATGGAGTGTCACATAATCATTACAACCAGGCTAATACAAACAACCCGTCTAATACATTAAGGGTGGTCATCTGGGTTTACAAATGGGAAGAAAAATTGAAAACTTGGGTCTAAAGTGGATTCAACAGGGGTCTAGCTTGTCTATATCAACTGCTTCAACTTGAACTCACCAATCATTAGTTAGTCTGAATGAATTCATTCTAAGTATCTCTAGAATATCGAAAGCTTATCATTCTTATCTACCATGTCCTTCAATTGGTGGAAAACATTCCTCAACTCAATTATCTCACCCTTCAACACAAATAAATGTTGTTGGAGTTTGACCTTGTTCACTATGAAGGACAAATTCAAAATTTCTAGCTCGAAAGAGAGCTCTTTAATTTTCTCGCATCCTCAAAATTCACGCTAGCCCATAGAAGCATAGAGGTCGTAAGCATGAAACCAAATTGGTCGTAAGTG